TAACGTTCCAGGTCAAAAATCTAGTTCCCATCTCTGGGCCTTTGGAGCCTCTGGAGCAAATCCTGATGATCTGATCTCATTTGACTTTTAGGTCTTGCTCCCCCCACTGCTCCTGTTTTAGTAGTATCTTGGATCATTTCTTGAGTTACCATCTGGGATTGTTGCTGTCTTAATTCTTCCTTGAGTCTAGCTGTCACCGATCTGGTCTGTCTTTGATCCTTTGGTTCCTGCAATAAATCAATTAGCGCCAACTCTTGGGCAGCCATTTGAATTTGTAATATTTCTTCTTGACCAGCCAAAGCTCCCCCCTGAACTACTGTCAGTAAGTCTTCTGTCTCACCTTCCATTACTTCCTTCTTTCTTTTGCCTTCTAGTGATTTAGTTGATTTGGGTGTACCAGCCTTTAATACATTAATATAAAAATATCTTGCTTTCCAAATTGTATTAAGCCGATGCCTCTCTCCTGAGTAAGTCACCACTAGTCCAGTTGGCACCTCCCATCTGTACTGTATCTGGCGTTTTCTCAGTTCATCCACCAGAAAAGCATACTCCCTTCTAGCTCTCAAGATCTTAGGGGGAATTTCTTTCATTGTCATCACTTCCTGGCCTTCCACCCGAAGCTTGTTTTTAAAAGTAGCCTGTAAGATTTCATTACGTACTCTCCTTGTAGTAAAGTATATCACAATGTCTCTTGGTAAATGTTTCTGTCTAGCAACCCAGGAATTAACGCAGTACAGTTTGTCAATCTGCCAGCCCAGATCATTTTTTGACTCCCCCACCAGCGGTGCTAATGCCTCTGACATCATTTCCTTCAAATTCTCTTGTTTATTCTCCTTCACCTCTCTAAATCTTAAAGCAAATTCCATATCTCTGTATTGTATCATTGTTACATCATCTTCAGCCCTTTGAATTCTGTTTTGGGCTTCTCCTAATTTACTATCCAAAATTTCCGAAGATTGTTTAATTTCCTCAACTCTATCATCCACCATTTCAATATTGCCTGCCAAACACTTAAATGCCATTAATACATCATCCCTAATCTTCTGATTGCGAGTTGCAATCTCATCTGACACAGCCTGTATTTTTTCATTAGTTTCCTTAATTTTTTCATTAGTTTCCTTAATTTTTTCATCAATCACATCAACAATTTTATTTTGGGTGACTTGGAGGGCTTGTTGTAACATTTCCAACGTTAAAATCTGTGGATCCGCTGGAGGAGCAAGAACTTGTAATCTAGGAATATGAGCTGGGGAGCTGCCAGCACTCCCCGTTCCTTTAGTGGGAACAGTTTTTACAGACTTTGAGGCCATTTCCAGTTTAAAATTAGTCTTTGTATTTAATCAGAGCCAAAAAGAAAAGTTCCTCAAAAGGTTTCCCAATATTAATTAACGTTTAAAGTCCTCCTCCTGTCAGCACAAAAGCTTTTTTAGGCGAAGGGCGGCCAACAAAACGAAACTTTTCCTGTAGCTTTCCGTTTCCCCCACTCTTTCAAGCTTCAATCACCATTTTGTTGCAAAGTGCTAAGTAGTTACTTCCGAAGGAGGCTCAAGACTTTGGAGTTAGGTAAAAAAATACTTGCAGTCTGATTTCTCCTTGCTCATTCCGCCTGCTGTTAGTTCAAGATGTTGATTCCCTCATTTCCATTCAGCAAAATTGGTCGCGGCTTCTAAATCCACTAATTAGCGGAGACGTCCCTGGTCTGGAGCGGCTTGACAGGCTTTTAGGGAGCGCATACCCTTCGCACCCCAGGATCTTTCCTAGGGCGTTCGGGGGGGCTCTACCTCCACCTGCCTGCTCTTCTCTCTCCCCTTTGCCCGGGGAGAGAATTCCAAGCCTCCAGACAATGTTTGTCGGCTGTTCTGGGGCTTTAACGGAGCCAGGGAACGGACGCTCTCAAAAGAACATCTTTGAGGCTCGCGGAGCCAACAGGAAGTCCACTCTTGGCAAGTTCTAATGTCGACACACAACACTTCAGGAACTCAGTGTTTGTTCCCAACAAATGCCCCTCCCCACGGGGTCTCCTTAAGTCTCATTCCCCAGATGTTCCTGGTAAAGCTGAGCGTGGCACTCTCCTTGCACATGGCCTTCTCTGCCTACACTGATCCCACCTTCTCTGCACTCTCTTAGCCCTTACATCAGGAGGGGGTGGTTCTTGCTCCTCGTCTGAGCTCTGTCTCTCCTCCCTGCCTGCAGGTCTTGCTAAGCCTTGCGAACAGCCTTGCCTGGACTGACTCTGCCCTTCCTCAGTTTCCTCCAAGGCCAATGGAGCTGCCCTCTCACTCGCTGTCAGTTCTTGTTCCAGCTTATCTTCCGCTGCACATTCAGACAAGGGCATGACAGGGTATTTTAGACATGGTGTTTAGGCTCTGCTGCAAACAGGCATTTGAGTTTTTTGAATGCTACTTGGCATTCCGTTGTCCATTTCAGTAGTTTGGGCTTTACCTCCCCCTTTATCTTCAAATTGGTGATGGGGAGGCTACCTGGGAAATATATAGGATGAATTGGCAGTAAAAGTTCGCAAATCCCAGGAAGCTTTGAAGTTCCTTCTGGGTGCAGGAGGTGTCCACTCCAAAACTGCCTGCACTTTTTCAGGATCCATTTCTATCCCTTCATGGGAAATGCAGCACCCAAATAGTCAATTTTGCTATGGTGAAATTCACACTTGGACAGCTTAGCATACAATTGAGCATCCCGGAGTTTTTTGAGCAGAGCCCTGACCTCACATGTTCCACCATGGTCTTGAATAAATCAAAATGTCATCTAAATAGACCAGGACTCCCTTATGGGTTCATGCTGTACTTCATTTATCAGCTGCATAAATATATCCAGGGATCCCTGCAGCCAAAGGGGAAAAGTCAGAATTGGAAGCACCACAAGGGACAATTGAAAGCTGTCTTCCACTCATCTCTCTCCTTGATCCTAACCTGGTAATATGCTTCTCACAAGTCCAATTTGGTAAAAATCCTCCCCTTTGCCAAATAGGCTAGCATATCCTTCATTAGGGGCAATGGATAGACATTTTCCACCCAAACAGTGTTTAGCCTATGATAGACAAAGGAACCCATCCTTCTCCCTAAACAGCACCAGGGCAGCCATTCGTGAACTGGTGGGTTGTATGAAACCATGCTCTAGGTTTTTGTCTATGAATGTCCACAGTTCCTCTAATTCTCAGGGGGTCATAGAATACAGTTTGGGCTTGGGCAATTTAGCCCCCAAAAAGATTTCAATGGAGCAATCAGTCGGGCAATGGGGTGGGAGTGTGTCTGAGCCCTTTTCACTAAAAACATCTGGTAAGTCCCAATATTCTTTAGGAATTTGGGGACCACCCTTGAAGCAGTCCTTCATCACATTCCCACCTCTCTTCTTGGCTTCGCCCTCAGTGTTTTAGTGGTAGGGACCTCAAGTTCTCCTTTATTTTCCCGACTCACTGAATCTTTAACATCTTCTTTCTCTAGTTTATATAAGGATCCATCCAATACGAGGGGGCTCTCCATCAGTGGTGAAATCTAAAATTTGTTACTACCAGTTCTGTGGGCGTGGCTTAATGGGGGGAGTAATGTGACTGGGTGGGCATGGCCAATTTTTTTTTTCTTTTAAAACCATTTTTTCTACAACCACTTTGGCGAAGAGGTTGCAAAAAAATGCTTTCAAAAGGCTCTGACGATCCCAGCTGAATTGCCTGATCGGCAGAGGCTTTTTTTTTTAAATGCCTCTGACGAAGCATTTAAAGAGGTTGTAGAAAAATGCTTTTAAAAGCTTTTGATGATCCCAGCTGAGCCGCACGATCATCAGGAGCTTTTTTTTTTTTCTTTTAAAAGCATTTTTCGGCCGAAGAGGTTGTAGAAAAAATGCTTTTAAAAACTAAAAAAAAAAAAAGGCCTCTGATGATTGTGCGGCTCAGCTTCTCCGAACCACCCGCCTCCATTGCTACCGGATCGGGCGATCTGGTCCAAACCGGGAGCATTTCACCCCTGCTCTCCATGCCTGACAGCACAATAAAGTTCAAGGTTTCTATATGAGTTCCTACTCCAATTTCTATTGATTCGGTGACAATAGAAGGCTACCCCTGCTACCGAGCCATCAAGCTGGCAAAAAGCCACCTGCACTTACGTTGTTTGACTCTTAGACCTAGTTTCTGAACTAGGGCAGGGCTGACTAAGCATCTGGTTCAGCCTGAGTCCAGGCAGGCTACCAAACTCTCTTTGGGCCCTGAGGATGGCACCAGTTCTATAGGAATGGTTACTTAAGAGACCCTCTCATTCCACTGGGATTAGCCTGCCCCACCTGTGCCAGCAGAGGAGGCATGCTCCTCTGCATGCATGCCCTAACCCCATTGGCCCCAGTATTCCAGCCAGGGGGGTCCAGGAGCAGGGCCTTCTCTTCTGTTGCATCTGCCCTTTGGAACATTTTGCCCCTTCCCCTGAGTAAGGTTGGCTACAATCCTCCCCACCTTCTATAAGAGCCTAAAGACTTGGGTCTGCCAGTTGGCTTGGTGCTCCAATGGGAGAATATCACAGTGGAGGTGGTTGATTGATTAACAACAGAGCCTATCTTCCCCTTATTCTCCTCCTATGTTCCCTATCTTTTAATTGGGCCACTGTATTTGTGTGTGCTTTTATCTTTGTACAGTTTTTATTTTTAAGATTGTAAGCCTCCCAGAGTTAACCTAAGATAAGATGGGCAGCAAATAAATGTTATAAATAAACAAACACAAAGTTATGAGCTTTACTCTTATGAGATATTCAACTCCAAAATGTACATTACAGTTTGTGGGATGCGACTAACGCATCCATTTATGACAATTTTAAAACTGTACCTTTGTTTTAGGAAAAGCATGGTTGATTTAAAATCACAACATATTCTGAGATGTGATCCAAAGCATACCATGCTACATATAGTTGGACTATTTACTTCCATAATTGATCCATTTTAAGAGGTTTTCATATACAGAGCCACTTGTAAGTAACACTTCTGATGTACTGCAATGTCTGTCATTTAAGGATGTACATCATGGAAATGGTACGCAGCAAGCTTTCTACAATGATCCCAATGTCCTTTATATTTCACTACATCGCTATGATGATGGAAACTTCTTTCCAGGCAGTGGAGCCCCTGATGAGGTAATAATATGATAAATATGTATTTTCAGATTTTTTTCTAATACAGTCCTACAACCTGGAATTTCAAGTGATAAAATGCTGGGTCTTACAATGCAAGTGAGAGAATCTGATTTCTTCCATTTTCAGAAGTAAATGTTTTAGCTTTTAATTCTCTAAAATTGCTTAGTCCCACCCCTCTAATCCATGGCAGCTAATTTAACTGTGACAACATAAATTCTTCATATTTTGGATTTTATCTATCTCTATATAAAATTTAGATATAGCAATAGCATTTAGATTTATATAGCACTCCATAGTGCTTTACAACACTCTCTGAGCAGTTTACAGAGTCAGCATATTGCCCCCAACAGTCTGGGTCCTCATTTTACTGATCTCAGAAGGATGGAAGGCTGAGTCAACCTCCAACCCTGTCAGGATCGAACTTCAGACTGTGAGTAGAGTTAGCCTGTAACCACTGCAACATCAGGGCTCTTGATGATATATAGCTAGTCCTTATGACCACAAGTGAGGCCAGAATTATGTTGCTAAATGAGAAATTTAAGTGAATTTTACGATTTTTCTTACCACAGTTTTAAAATGAATCACTGCTGTTTTTAAATTAGTAACACGATTAAGTGAATCTGGCTTCCCTATTGACTTTTGCTTGTCAGAATGTCACAAAAGGGTATCACAAGACCCTAGGACACTGCACCTGTCATAAACAACAGTTGTCAAGCATATGAATGTAAATCACGTGACTGTGGGGATGCTGCAAAAGTCATAAATGTGAATAATGGTCATAAATCACTTTTTTCAGTGCTGTTGTAACTTTGAACAATCACTAAACAAACTGTTGTAAGTCAAGGACTACCTGTATACTGTATATATGAGAAAGAGAGAGGTCTGCAAGGTACAGACTACGCATACCTCAGAGACAGTCTAACACATAGTGGTAGGATGTACAGGCAGGAATAGCATATACTGAACAACACAACCACATACCTGGCATAATGTACAGGAACATCTGCACAGAGTATGGGTTAGACTGTTCCAGGTCCAGATGAGAAATTCTACAGAACATTGTGGAGAATAATAGGACTAAGATCCTGTCAGGTTTTCAGATCCAGATGGACAGGCAGGTACTAGCCAATCAATAAAACATTGTGGTAGTAGACAAGGACCAAAAAACAGCAGTAGTGATAGATGTAGGGATACTAAATGACAACAACATCAGGAAGGAGTATGAAAGACTATAGGAAGTATCAGGGCCTGAAGGGGGAACTAGAGAACATGTGACAAATAAAGGCCAAAATGGTGATAAGAGCACTCAGGGCTATAACAGGAGTTAAGCTGGGAGAATGAGCAGATCCCAGGAAGAACATCAGAGCTTTCTTTCCAGAAGAGTTGTCAGCCACTGTCTCTCAGACCTAGGAAGCAGACAATGGCAAATCTCTTCCAAAATGTTGCAAGAAAGCTGCAGGGATTAGTCCAGGCAATTACCAGGAAAAGCATTAATAATGAATAAATTAATTAAATCTAATTAATTGTATTATTAATCCCTGCTTGGAAAGTTATTGTTTATCAGATAGGAAGTCCTCAATTTACCACCATTCATTTAATGACAGTGCAATTATGATGGCCTTGGAAAAAGTGATTTACAATCTGTATTGCACTTATGACCATTGCAGTCACATAATCACAATTCGGACATTTGGTAACCAGCTCACATTTGCAGTTGGTTGTCACATCTTGCCGTCACATGATATGACCTTTATTTGCCAATTTCCTACAATAAAAAATGCCCACTGGGAAAGGTGGTTTCACTTAACCACCTTAAAAATTGTTGTAAAATCAGATCTGTCACAACTTACAACAGAAACGCCAATTGCAATTGAAAATTGAGGACTACCTCAATTTTGGGGTAGCTGGTCCACTGGTACCTATTGAGGTACCAGTGGAGGATATTCCCATCATTGACGCAAAGGCAGAAATAAATAAATAATCATGCTTAAATCTCTGCTTCTTGTGTTGTTGTTTATCACGCTATCAGAGGATTCTCTCAGATCAAATAATATTCTTATGCTTAGAAGAAAAAGTTCTCACAGTAATACTTGTAATTTAGGTATTGTTTCTATCAATGTGAGGAATTGATTGCCCAGTCTGCGTGAAGTTGATTTTGTAATTTAAAAATAGAAAGAATGTATATTCCTTTGACCTATTCCAACTTTCTTCAAATCTGTACCATTGTGATGCTTTGATCTGAAACTTTCTAGTCAGCATGGGTATACCTAATTGGTAAATGCTGTCCCATATTGCCCCTACTCATTTATTGAGCATACATTTATTGAGCATACACAATAGTTAATGAAAAGTTCAGCCATAGAATTTATTGTCCTTCTGGGCCCATATTTGGATTTTTGTAAACAAATTCTAGGTTCTAGTTTGAGGGCATCTATTTTCCCTGTAATTAAAAGCCTATTATCTTAGATGCCAAAGATCAGAGATTATTGTCCTGCTTTGTAAATTTCCCAGATGTCCCTGATTGGGGACACAATGTTGGATTAAGAGGGACTTGACAATACTGCATCTGTTGTCAATTATATAATATAAACTATAATTTAATATTACACTGCCCTCCTACTAGGATAACTAACTGTATTGTAATATATAGAATAATTCTTTAAAATAAACTTAAATATTTTCAAATAAATTTGATGATTAAGTAGAAGTACAATTTCAACAGCCTTTTTCTTGCTACATAGCCCTGGTTGCTTGCTTTTTTATTCTAATAATAGAATTTTGCAGAAATTGTCACTCAAATACTAAAAGTAATAAATGTAGCAAAGTGGGGATCTTTAAAAATGTATGCGTTGGGAAAAATATATTCTTTGAAGACAACAAGTAAGGGTTGTTGCTAATTGTGAAGCATTTCATCTGAGCAGATTGTAAAGATATAACATTGCAAATCTTTTCCTTCTATCCTTGAGTACATATGTTCACTGAACAAGGTCACAATGAAAAATTACAGATAAAAGTGGAAGTACCTTGAGTAACCTATAGTGACCACTCCCTCTATAATTCTAAATAACTTACAAGAATATACAGATAGGCTTTGACTTATGACCAAAATTCTAACAGATTTACCTGGGAGATACTTATGGCCCAGATTCAAAGTTCCAAATCCCCCTTTGAGGTCATGTGATTGTGATCTGGGCTTTTGAAAACCCATTTGCACGTATAACGTGCAAGGTCCATATTCATGTGATTGTTATTTGCATTCTTCCAATCTTCCATGTAGACTTCCTCAGAAAGAGAACATTACTTTAAAATGATTATTCAAAAATATAATGAATAAAACAGAAAAGGTAAAATAAAAGAATTTAAAAGGCCTCAATAAGTAAGTATCCTTCAGATCTTAGTTTAGTTTTTGTCATGTCACCCACCCATGTTGTCCTGGTCCTACTTTTTGGCCCCAGCATTTTTGACATTTCTGCTTTAAAACTACTATATGAAAAGAATATTTTAATTACTATATTATAAACAACTTGAAAAAAACTAAAATCATTATGTCTTCTTAAATCATGCTTAAGATTTTAAGGCCTGGGCGGGGCCACAGCAGCCTCAGGACAGCTTCAGGTTTTGAGGCAGCAGCAGCAGCCAATCAACAAGGAACTTGCTTCCTTTGTCTCAAGGAACTGCAAGCCCCTTGTTGATTGGCTGCCATGCCCCAATCCCTAAAGCTCATTTGAACTAGCCAGTCAGCAGCAAGCAGGAGGCAGCTCGTCACCGGCCAGACTGGGCCCAAACTAAGCCTGCAGGCCCTCATGGCAGAGAAGCTGTTCATTTATTCTGATGGGGAAAGCTGTTTTCCTTACATCTCACGTTCTTACAGCTTCACGGGCTTCTGAATAAAAGACTTTGGCTTCTCTGCCACATGGGTCAGCCTCTTCTGGAGCTCTTCAAAAAGTAAGTACAGTACAGCCATGGGAAATGGGGTGGGGAGGAGTAAGTGGAATCCAGGATTCTAGCAAAGCAGGCACAGTCTGTGGAGAGGGCTGAACGGAGCCTCAGAGGGCCGGATCTGGCCCATGGAGGAACCATTTTGGCCTGTAACAGGCTGGGGGAAGCCTTTGGAGGCCCCCACACCCTATTTAGCTGGCAGAGTGCTGTAGGAGACCGTGCAGGCTGAAAACAGGGCACAGGGCACCCTTGCACCCCGTTTTCACTAGCAGAGGCACCGCAGGACAGTCATTTGCTATTTCCAGGTCAGCTCCACAGGCCAAACTAAGTACCACCATGGGCCAGATCTGGCCCACGGGCCTTGAGTTTGACACCCCTGCAAACTCCTTTATGGACCTCCTTAATAGAGGAGGTGGACCTCCTTAATAAAGGAGACTCATAACATTCTCCGTCTCCCCATTCTGGTGATTTGGCTAGATATAACTGAGAAAAGAGAATCCTTCAAATAACATGGCCCCAAACTATGTAGAGCTTCATCACTTTGAATTGGACCTCCTACAAGAGATCTAATGTGTAACTTATATAAAACCATGTGATCTACGACATTTTGGACTAATTGAATTTTTTTGATATTTTTCAATATGTAGAGCACATTGCAATAGTTAAAACAGGAGATGATTAGGGAATGGGTGACTGTGAACAAGTTGGTCCAGGAAAAGACATAACTGACACACAATTCACAGTTGTGCAGAGGCCCTCCTCATCATGACTGCAATTTACACCTTGTCTAGGACAACCTTAGATTATGCATTGGGTCCATCTGGGGCAGGGCAACTTCATTCAAAATAAAAGTTGGCAATTTTTCATGGACCAAAGAGCCAGTTTTATCTCAGGGTTCAGTCTGTTACCCTTAACAGCTTCCATGCACTGTAAGAGGGAGGTCATGGCATGGGCTGAGAAATGCAACTAGGTATGATCAGCATACTGATTATATCTTACTTCTTACTGATGGCTGATCTCATCCGATAGCTACTTGTAGATGTTAAATAGAAGCACTGTTT